TTGTTTTCTATTGCGAGTTTCAAATATCAAATAAGGAAAATCTTAAAACACCGAATATCCAATAGAAAATGTGGCTAACATCGTGATTAGATTAATCTAGTTATAGGCTCTTTTTATATTGTTGTATGTTAAAATAAGATTTGGATTAGTTATAATGAATTGTATGAAATAAAATGAAATGGAAAAAACTGAATTTTAGAAGGTACCGAAAGGGGGCTTTAGGATACACTGTACCTATATAACCAATATTACACCATGACACCGATAACCAATTAAAAACTCTAAATGGTACAACAGATCAAAGCTTAAATCTTTACTTCGGAGTTAAAAAATATAACACTGTTGCCTTTTTTGGCTGCAATAACTTGAAAATTCAACACTGTTATAGCTACAAGTGGCAACACTGTCGTATTCGCATGCCAAAGTCACGATTTAATCTTAGATGTGTCTTAACAAAAAAACCTTCTTTGTGTAAGAATATAAGTCTTGCGTGGTTTCCAAAGCACTCTCCCCTGTGCAAATATACTACTGTTGATATTGCTGATTCTTTAAACTCATTTTTTTTTAACAAAAAATGTGCCCGTTTCTGTTGGACCTTTTTTTTGATAAATATTCAATTTTTTTGAGTGCTTTGACTGTCATTGTACAAAATTAAGGTATTCAAACGAATAGTTTTCCTTTGAAATGACGAGCTTTTTTAGTTGCCTCAGCTATTACATTATATCCAGGAAAGCGAAACCTCTCTTTGTTTTCGTGCTTCCCAACATATATATATATATATATATATATATATATATATATATATATATATATATATATACATATATATAAACAAACTACAAACGACGATCTGGCCCCAATGAACGTCAACTACATCTATATTAATTTTCTTGTTTAATATTCCATGTTCCAATGTTTCTTTTAAATATTTCAGAATTCTTTTAACTGCTTTCCAATATTCATCGTTGTAGTTTGAATAGAATCATAAAATTCACCGCATAGGCAATATTTACCTGCTCCCATTAATTTCTGACATGGATACTTGAACATTGCTTCTTCACAAATTGCTGATGGTACTGCCAATTTGATTCCAAAGGCGTGGAGTAGGATTTGCAATCCATCATGCAAAAACCATCAAGTACCAAGTCGGCGTATTTACGTTGAGAGATAAATATTTCATTTGACCAAAATTATTTACATCAAATGACGGCGATAGTGACATCGTGATGGAGTTTATCCATTTTGGTTCATTGGAAACCAACAATAAGTCGTCAATATATATAAGTATTAACATGTGTCTTCCGTACCATAAGACATACAAAGCTTTATTGAGTTCACAAACAGACCATTTCTTTCGTCCCATTGCTGCATTTCTCATGTTTCCCATTTATGTAGGCCGTCACAGCATCCATTTGATGGATTTTTGACGATGACGATGATCGCACAACAGGAGAGTAAGTTTCGTGAAAATCTTCACCAAGTGGTTGCGAATACCGTGTTGCTACTAATCGAACTTTTCTCTTTGACTCGATATACCAATCGACTGATCTTGACCTTGATATCTGCCTCGATAACGGCTTACGGTTATTCTTAACATAGACTTTGTCCTCTACATTATAAACTCTATGATTGCGGGTTTTGTTAAAGTTATGTAACTGTCTGTTCTGCACGTTACAAATCCACCCCTTTTTTACCAAACTCAGAGGGTGCTGAATGAATTGGTTTGTCCTTAGTAACAGAATATATTGTTCTATTGTATTCCATAGTTGATTGTAAAATGAGGTCAACGGTGTCCCCAACGGTCAACGGTGTCCCCAAACTTTCTTTCTATTTTAATGCATCTTGCTATTCTATTTCTAAGACTTTTTACCAACCGATTTCCCTAGCAAAAATGGAAGTGGATCCAATGACTATCCTCATGGTTGAGGGTACTAAAATTTTGCCCGACCGAAGCGCGCTTACGATAATTGATAATAAAAATGATGTATACTGCTAGTTGGCGCCAATGGAAGGAAAGGGGGAAATGCAAAGCAAACCAAATGTAACAAAATCAAATAAAAGCACAATTGTACTAACCCCACAATTGTGTTATTATTTGATTTTAATATAAAATAAAAACAAAAAACAAATTAATAAATAATAAAAATAATTTTGTTGTAAATACTCTCTCTCTTCTTCTATCACCCGATACGAACGAAGGCTCTCCCTGCTATTGTGCAAATAAGGTAATATTCTTTACCATCCAACTAAACTAGCATTATTCAAATTTTATTCATTATTCAATTTTATTCTAAGAAAACCCTTGTGTTTTATCTATCTTTTTTTGCAAAACCCCACGCTCCACGACGCATTCGGTGTTTTACTCCCATCAGCGGAGCCCCTCTGAGCTAAACATTTGGTCCAATCTAACCGGATATTCCAGCCCTCTTGGTCGCTTTAGGAATCCACTACATACAGTGCACTGTATTCGAGTGAGGTCGATTTACGTTGGCTTCTAATTTAGATGCTTGCATTCGGCAGCATCATAACCAAAACAAAACTCGAAAATAAAATTGTGGCAAATATCGTTTGCTAATTTTCTTTTCGTTTTGATTCATTTTAAACAACAAAACATTCAATATTTCGTTCGTTGATACCAACAAAATCATCGTTGTTAGTAGTTCTTAGTTGGGAGTGCCTTACTACCTAAAGCAAAGTTCACAATACTATTCTCTTTGGTTGGTTTGTCCTTTTTAATATTGCAAATTGTTGTTTGTACATTTATTGTTTTTTCTGGGTGCAACAACAGCTAAATTCATTTTCTGTTTTGTTTGTCGCAAGTATTAACACTGTTTGATCATCCACCAACATCACTGTTTGCTTGTCGTTGTTCTCTGATCAGCACTTGTTTTTTGAGCTTTGTTACATCAGTGTACGAACATAACAAACGAAGGAAGATTATTTTTGTTTATTCCTCTTTCTGTCGTGTCCAATTATGTTAAGTAGCTACACTACGTTGGTCGGTTACTTTTGTTTGTTATATTAGTTGGTATTGGGTGTAAAATTATTATTACAATATGGTTACAATAAAATCAATGCAATAGTGTACAGGGTTGCCCATATTCGATGGACCTTTGGACCCATTCCAATCGACGAGGCTTGTCCGCAGGCAATATTCTTTGCGTCAATTGAATTTTGTACTGGAACAAATGCAAATTAATGCGAATAATCCATTGTAAAGTGGACCGAGCCATGCCCAACTGCTGAGAACGGCGTTTTTGGGATGTTCTTGGGGACCTCTCAACACTGGCTCGTACGGCAGCGATATTCTCGGTCAATCGCCTTGGTCGACTTTTATATGGCCTCTTCGGATTAGAAAGAGCCTTAACAGTCGAAAATTTTTCGTATAAACGCTTAATGGTGTTCTTAGAAGGCGCACTTCTCACATTTTTTAATGTTTTAAAAGCACGTTGAGTTTTCACAATTGACTTCTTCTGTTGAATGTAAATTTCAAAGCGCTCGCGTGGCATGTATTGGTTCATGGTAAAAATCTGCTTGGATGTGACATCTCTGTCAAAAGTTATGGCGTTACCAGTTGGGTCCGTCGAATATGGGCAACCCTGTATTTCATTTTTGTTGTTGTTTTTGGTCATTTTGATAAGTTATATATAAGTCGTCGCAAAACTTAAAACAATTGGAAAATGTAACAAAAGAACATTTGCATATGGCAGAAATAAATATAACGCTTCTTTTAACAATTACTCCAATACAATGCCAATACTTTATAGAAAAATTATAAAATAACGTTGCATAACAAGAAATTTGATAAAACTCATGCGGATAAAACTCATAGAAATCGGCTCAATCCCTTTTGGTTTCTGAGTCACAGGAAAATACTACCGCAAATATGTCTTTTGGCTGTGATATTGTTCAAAGTTTGGCATTGCCCCCAACTGATATTGATATTTTTGAGGGAGATTTTTCTTATTGGCCTTCCTTTCGGGATTTGTTTAGCGAAATTTACCTAAATAACAATCGCTTGAGTGATGTGGAACACAAGTACTTGCTTCTAAAAACTGCTGGAGAATCTCGGGAAATCGTTTCTCAATTTCCTCAACCTAATCGTGGTTTCGCTGTCGTATGGAAAGCAATAATTGGTTCATCATAAACTAAAGTCATTGTATAGTCTTCCAATTATTGTAAAAGAAACTGCATCGGGTCAAAAAGACATCCCACGGGGAATTAACAGTTGAATTTTTTCGATGTCGACCTATTACGTTCCCACATATCAATGGGATCCTATACTTGTCTTCAATTTCCTACAAACTTTACCTAAAGAAACGCAACTGCTGTGGGACAAGGTATATACCATCGGCTTCATTTGTGCTCAAAATTTAAAAAGTTATCCTCCGCCAATAGATTTGCATTCGTCAAGTGAGAGGGCTATTGTATAAATAAACTAGTAAATGGTCATTAAATCCGAATGGTTCGGTTCTGATTCCAAAGGCTACATAAAGCTCGTCAAAATCGTTGTTGTCAGCTTCAGTCCCAGTTTTTCGTCCCTCGAAATGTATAACCTCCACATCGGATTAAGTTCAATATCAAAAATCTAATTTTGTTCGTTCGGTCCCACGCCTCTCACAACCGCCCCTGCCGACCGAGGGGGCAACCTCCCTATAACGCAAAGAGCGCGTACGGACCAAGGCAGGTTAGCAATGGTTTCACACCGGCTACAGAAACTACATCAGCCAGTGAATAAAATACAAAAGTCATTTTAAAAGTTACACACAAAGTAGTAAACATAAATTTACAAAGCAACAATCTACAAGCACTGCTAATTGGCCACGTCTACTGTTCGGCATAGGGTATTGTAGATCAAATGCAAGATGATCAAAGGCGAAGTTCTACTGGTTCCGCGGAGGCATTTGCAGATAATATGCCGTAAAATGAGCATATAGAGTTAAGAAAAACATAAATATAAGGTAACATAAACATAAAATTATCGTAGATATTTCACGACATAAATTACATATGTACAATACAATTTTTTATTGTGTTCAAGGGACTATTTAAGGAAATAGAATTACCTAAGCTGTTATAAATTACACAAAGTGATCTCATTTCAAGATCATTATTTCTTCTTGGAGAATCAATAAATTAATCGTATTAATTTAATGATAAATAATGCTCTTAATCAACTTTAAACGGCTCTCGTATGGCGGAAGAAGTTCAGAGGGATTCCAATTTAAACCACGCAAAGCTAAAATTAAAAACTGAATTTGTACTGATTCAATTTTATCAGAATAATATTTATAAAATTGACTCCATAATATACAACCTTATTCTAATACTGGATGAACTAGACTAACAAACAATCTTTTGGTTACATAAGGATCATTAAACTCTTTGGACCAATGCTTGATGAAGCCTAGTAAAGTTTTAGCTTTATTAACACAAGAATCAACGTGTAAATGTAACTGTAGCCAGTGTTGCCAACATTTTGAGAGCTAAAAGCGTAATTAAAAACCAGAAAAGCGTAAATGGCGTAAAAATTTTCCTTAAAAAAGCGTAAAAAGCGCTATGCATTTTTTTCTAACCAAAATTGTCAATAAAACACTTTTTTTAAACTAAATACTGTTTTATTAAAAAATTTAGATCGTATCTTATATAAACATTTCATGTATATAAGCGTATACATATTTTTAAATAAGTAAAAAAGCAGTAAGTTCGGCCGGGCCGAACTTTGAATAACCTCCACCGTTTAAAACGAATTAGGAAATTTACAAAAAAAAGTCCATTAAAAATTCTGTTAAAATCAACAAAAATACCCAATATCGGAAGATGCCGATATATTGAGGATATACGATATTGTGGACCTTACCGACAATTCTATTTCAGGGGGTAAAGTACTCACAAAGAACTCCTTGTGTAGAATTGCAGACAATTCCATTGAAAAATGTGTCTTAAATCAACAACAACATATAAATATTTCATGTATATAAGTACATACATATTTTTAAAAAAATATGATATATTAGGAACATTTTACATGTGGTTAAAACTTGCAGACATATACATTTTTACAAACAATTATGTTCACCCATAAAACCCATAGCTTCAAATTCAGTTGAAGTTTTGTAAACTCGTACAACAAAGCAGCCATGTATAAACTTACGTTTTTTTTCTCGTTCATTTCACTTTTTCTTCAATTGGTTTATAATACACAAAATTCTTCGTTTTATTATGGTTTATTAAAAAAGAGTAAACAAAAGAACTTCAATGACAGGAATGAGACGTAAAGAATTTGTAGTAAAGAACTTGCGACAAGTAGATGTCATACATTCAAAATATTCGAATGTATTGTTACGAATATAACTTTAGATTTAAGTTAATTTAGATGAATTCCGTTAATTTAAGAATTTGAATTGTAACGTAAATTTCTACTACGCAGTTTATTTGAATAACTTCACAACAACAACTACTGTATAGATTTTTCTACATCCTTCCATTTCCTCTTTCATTTTCTATTTTGTTGCTGACGTACAATTCTTGTTAAACGTCATCATTGATGATCGCCTAATTCCTCTTTCTTTGTTATCCCCTCGCCTGTGTATGTGTTGTTGTTATTGTTCACTCAATGTAAGTTTGTATGTGTTGTTGTTATTGTTCACTCAATGTAAGTTTGTATGTGTTCGTTGCATTGGTAGATTGTTCGTAATCTAGGCGTTACCAGATCGTCTAGAAACTTCTGTAGCGACAGGCGAGGCTCATATAAATAGGGGAAATGGAAAGGCAGTTAGTCAGTTGTGAATCAGATCGCGAATTGAAACCGTCGAGTAAAGTAAAGTGCAAAGTAAAGTTGTGTGAATAAAATCATTGTAATAATCGTAATCCGAAAGAACCCGCGTTTTATTTGGTACGAGCTGTATTGGGAAATAAAACAACGTCTACACGGGATTAAGTAAAATCCAAGAACGTAACAATTGGTGTCGGAAGTGAGATTACGATAATACTACGATGAAGTTTAAGGATCTACGAGTGGAAGACTTGAAGAAGGAACTTAATAAATTGGAATTGTCCTCTACTGGCAACAAGGCTGAACTACAAAAACGTCTGTTGGATGAGTTCGAGCGCCGTGGTATGAACATCGATACATATGAGTTTGACAGTAAGGATGAAGTGGATTTATCGGAAATGGGCGAATCCAACGGTGGGGAAGTCTCGTCAGTAGCTGCCAGGGGTGACGATTTCAGAGAAATGCTAGCCAAAATGTTTGAGAAAAATTTCAGAAGGTTCGAAGAAAATTCAAGAATAACGAACGAGAAACTCGAGTACATTGCAGAAGTTATTGGAAGGAGAGTGGAAACCGTGGAGGTCCAAATTAAAGAGTTGGATAAGAAAGTGCAGTCGGTTGACGAGAAATTTCTGTCCCACGACCATTGGGTTACAAATCTGGAGAAGAAAATTTCGGAACTGGAAATCAAAGGTGGTCCGGTGCGAGTTCCTGATAACACACTAAAAATCAAACCTCCTGTATTCGACGGCTCTACGTCATTCAATGTTTTCAAGTTACAGTTCGAGACAGTGGCTTCTAGAAATTCGTGGAACGACAGCGACAAAGCGGTTGCACTACTTCTGGCATTGAAGGGCAGTGCTGCTGATGTTATACAGAGTATTCCTGTCGCTTCTAGAAACAACTATGAAGATGTTATTGCTGCACTGGAACGTAAGTACGGTGGCGAACATAAACGAAACATCTACCTTATGGAATTAAGGGGAAGAGTACAGAGGGCAAACGAGACGTTACAAGACTTTGCAGCTGAGGTGGAACGTTTGGTGCTAATGACGTATCCAGGAGAGGATCACCCATTGCTGGACCGTATGAAAATCGAAACCTTTGTGAATGGCATACGTGACCCTGAGATTAAGTATGCAACATATGCGTCACCAAAAGCATCATTTTCCGAAACTGTGTCGTTTGCCCTTGCCCAAGAGACGGCAAGAATAGTTGTTAAGCCCCAGACCCACAAGATTCGCCAACTGGAGACCGAAGGTTGCGAACCCAAATCTCTCGTTAACTCGATCGAAGACGCCATGAGGCGGGTAATAGAAGAGACAAAGTTAGTTGGGATGACTAAGCCCAGGGTTAGATGCTACAACTGCGATAAAGTAGGTCATATTGCGCGCGAATGCAGAGCTAAGCGCAAACGATCCAGGTCATCGTCACCACCTCCAACGAAAGATGGTAGAAGAATGGCCCAACAGTCCACCAATGAGTCACAGTTAAACTAAATCGAGCCAGTCCAGCGGGGCATGAACTGGCTCCCATCGACGATGGCCCCACAATCTCCATAGCAATAGTACAACAGGAAAGTCACAACCTAACAACAACTGGGTACATCAATGGTGATAAGCGAGTTCTGACGTTAGATACTGGCGCATCAAAGTCCATCGTAAGATCAGATCTGGTAAAGGGAAAAATAACGCAACTTAATGGAGTCAGACTGCGCACAGCAACGGGGGAGCCCGCGGCAGTACACGGCAAGATTACCCTGAGACTAACTATTGCCAATAAATCGGAGAATTACGAGTTTATAGTTGCCGATATCGTAGACGAAGTGATAATAGGCGCAGATTTTATGATTGCCTTTGGTATCAATCTGGATATGAAAGAACGTGTGATGACCTGGTCTAACGTCGAAATTCCGTTAAACGTGGGCTACGATGAAAGTACACCCATTAGACGTCTGACCACGGACCATCCAGAGATAATACCGCCCTGTGCCGAAGCAATAATATGGGTACCAATGAATGGAGATTGTGGAGCCGAGAAGTTGTGGGTGGTGGAACCAGCAGAAAACAGAAACAGTAACATCCTAATAGCGAATGCCCTGGTGAAAAGCAACAAGGACGGATTAATTCCTGTTAGAGTTTTGAACCTGTCAAACAAGCAAGAGCAAATTTGCCAATTTTCCGATGTTGGACAATGCACACCAGCTGAAGCTGTAGTTAATTTGGAAACTAGCACCGAAAAGCCAGCTGCCATGGAGAAGAAGCACCTCGACGGCTACATAAAAGAGTGGACACACCAATTATCACCTTCCGAGAGGAACAAGGCTAAGCAGCTATTATGGAAATATGCCTCTACCTTTGCGTTGACAAAAGAGCACCAAGGAAGAACATCAGTGGTGAAGCATGAAATCAATACAGCAGACGCGAGACCCATTAAACAGCCTCCAAGAAGTGTTCCCCTGGCAAAAAGAGACGAGGTTCAGAAGCTGATAAGTGAAATGGAAAAGAGTGGTGTAATAGAACCATCGTCAAGTCCATGGTGCTCCCCAGTGGTCTTGGTCAAGAAGAAAGACGGAAGCACCCGATTTTGTGTGGACTACAGAAAGTTGAATGATGTCACCAAGAAAGACAGCTATCCGCTCCCAAGAATCGACGACACATTGGACACATTAGCCGTGATGTCATGGTTCTCCACCCTCGACCTGCAGAGTGGGTACTGGCAAGTAGAGATCGCCGAGAAAGATAAGGAGAAAACAGCGTTTGGCGTAAATGGGGGTCTCTGGCAGTTCAATGTCATGCCATTCGGACTCTGCAACGCCCCGGCTACATTTGAAAGGCTGATGGAGCGTGTGTTAAAAGGGCTGCAGTGGAAGTCGTGCCTCATATACCTGGATGACATCATAGTCATGGGACGCAACTTCGACGAACACATCAAGAACTTAAAGGATGTTCTACAGCATCTTTCGTCTTCAGGCCTCAAGCTGAACCCAAAGAAGTGCAGTCTCTTCCAACGAGAGGTGAAGTTCCTGGGGCACCACGTGACGCCGGAGGGCATATCGACGGATAAGGAGAAAATTCAAGCCGTCAGAGATTGGCCGCAGCCCCGAAATCTCCATGAGCTGCGAAGCTTTCTGGGTCTCTGCACATACTACCGTCGATTTGTCCAAAATTTTGCCAACATCGCCGCCTGTCTACACCGTTTGACGCAAAAAGGCCAGAGGTTTCAGTGGGGCAACGACCAGGAGGAGGCATTCAGAAAGCTCAAAGACATGCTATGCAGAGCCCCCATTTTGGCATACCCTATACCTGGCGGCAAGTTTGTCCTGGACACAGACGCAAGTGCGTGCGGCATCGGTGGCGTCCTTTCCCAGGAAATCGACGGACAGGAAAAAGTCATCGGGTACTACAGCCGGACATTGTCGAAACCTGAGAGGAATTACTGTGTGACGAGGAGAGAGCTGCTTGCTGTCCTTGAGTGCGTTAAACACTTCCACAAATACCTATATGACCAGCATTTCCTGCTGAGGACCGACCACGCTGCTCTCCAATGGTTGCTGCAGTTTAAGAATCCGGAAGGTCAACTAGCCCGTTGGATCGAGAGGCTCCAGAGTTATGACTTCAGAATCGAGCACAGAAAAGGCGGAAAACACGGTAATGCTGATGCCCTGTCTCGTCGGCCATGCAAAGTAGAATGCAAGCACTGCTCAAAGGCTGAGAATAAAGAGAATATCGTTGATGTCCGACTATTGCAATTTGAGTCGGGTGAAGATTGGTCGACGGAACAACGAAGAGATCCCATTCTGGGCAAAGTAATTTCGGCCATAGAAACGGGCAAACGACCTAGTCGCAAAGAAATTACCTCCGAAAGCCCTCTTTTAAAATCCTATTGGGCCCAGTGGGACAGTCTACTTATAATAGATGGTTGCCTATATCGCAAATGGGAAAGTGAGGACGGTAAATCTCACCGGAACTTGATCGTCGTCCCAGACTCCAAAATAAGAGATGTCTTGTCGGAGTTTCACGATGGGCCAAGTGGAGGACATCTTGGCATAGCAAAAACCGCTGAAAAGGTAAAGCAGAGATTCTACTGGGTCGGCTGTCAAAAATCCATTGCCGACTGGATCGCCAATTGTGAAAGGTGCATAAGAGCTAAAGGTCCAACACGGAAGAGTCGAGGCTACATGCAGCAGTATAATTCAGGAGCCCCTTTTGAAAGAATCGCAATGGATGTAGCTGGACCGTTCCCAACAAGCGACTCTGGGAACCGGTATGTCTTAGTGGTCATGGATTACTTCAGTAAATGGCCAGAGGTTTATGCTATCCCAAATCAAGAAGCCAGGACAATTGTGGATGTGTTCAGCAGAAATTGGATTTGTCGCTATGGTGTTCCATCTGAGGTTCATTCCGATCAAGGGAGGAATTTTGAATCAGCGATCTTCAAGGAAATGTGTGACTCCTACGGAATCAAGAAAACCAGAACGACGCCCCTACATCCAC